CATTGACTGGGGTACTATTTCCCCATAGCAGGGCTGAAGCTACAAAGAATTTCTGAAAGCGGGGTTCATGACTTCAGGTAAAATATTTCTTTCTTCGTAAAATCTTGCCTACAGGAAGTCACACCAATTGGTAATACCTAAGTCAAGTCTGCTACTGTGAAAATGAAGTTTGGAGTCTGTCTCAAGACATTACCAGTTTCAAAGATCCAGCTTGCCTTCCTATCTGCAAATACCAATTCATCAGTTAAAAACTACCATCAGCTGCATGCTGGTAGGAAACAATAGAGTAAAACTGGTGGGGAAAAAAACATGGCTACTATGAACATCAATGATGAAGGATTTACTTTCAAAAAGAACAAAATTACTGCATAAATTCAAAGCCTTCAACAGACATCCTCAGAATTTAATTTGTTCTTCCCTTAATAACAGCCATTGATACAAGAGCAAGACACTCTGTTGCAAGCCTGAAATAATTGAAGCTGCATTTTCACCTTCACTCCTTTTTCATATTTCCATGAAAGCTACTGGACTGTTATTGAGAAAGTACAGCACATCTTGTGAAAACATAAACTCAAAAATATGCATCTCCTGTTTCATCCTGTGATGGTCCTCTTGGGGAAATACTTCACTGCATTTGCTACCTTTCAAATTGAAGGTGTGAAGCAGAGCTCAACATTTTGACTCAAGTCCTGGAGAAGTCCTGCAATATGCACACTCTTGCTCCTTGTCTCCCTATTCTCTCCAGCCTAGCAGCTACTTTCCAGGTTTTCCCAACTTTGTGTTATGCCTGACGAGGTAAAAAACCACATCCAATGTGAAAGATGTGAAACAGCAGTGCTAGCATGAATGCAATAGTATAGGTATTTAAAATGCCTTCTTTGTATGTGGGAGATGGGCTGCCCATCTTATCCATGTAGCAGCACAGGTACTATTTCAGGTGTTAGCCCTTCTTTCTAAGGACTCCTGGAAAAGCAGCAGACCTGAAGCTTGTAAGAGAAATCCCTTTCTTCAAGAGCTGGATTTCCTGGTAGATCTGTGATTCATCTCTGTATTCAGAATATGCAGAACACTGGATATTCAGCACGTCAGCATTGTCACATCTGACATGTCTTTTATCCACTTCTGCTATAAAAAATTACTCCACAGCTTGATTTTTTTTAAATCTTGGTGGTAGCTCTCAGAAATATACACAAAATGTTTATATGTTATATATATATGTTTAAATGTTTATATGTTTTATACTGGAGCAGTATTGTCTTACTGAGTTTCCAGGCAGGCGAAATATCAGTCCTGAGCAAAGCGGATTACCCCATTACTGAATTAGTGCTAGAATCCAACACCAATTTAAATACTGCTGTTAGTGTTTCCTTACTGACCATACTTAGAAAAATGCTGATGTGCTTGTCCCACCATTTTCAGTTGTCTCTGAAAGTACCAAAGGGCACAAATGTCAAGTAAGTGTGTGCACGTGTATAAATATTTTCACAATAATACCTAATTTATAAGAAAGTGCATTTGCAAAAATATTAAAGGAAGGAAAGATGTGCGCCGGAGCTTCTGAAGGAAGCAGATGGAAGTCAGAGGAAGAAGTCCTCCCAAATGCAAATGGAGAAGACAGAACATGAAGGGGAGAGGGGAATGTCGGGGACAGAAACAATTCCCACCATTACAAAGGCTAAGTGTTTCATTTTTACCGTGTATGAAAAAACAAACTCTCTTCAGCATCATACAACCTGACAATACACCACAAAACTAAAACAGTCTTTGCAGTTGGTAATGACAGAGCAGGCAATGTAACAGCCGTGCAGCTGACATGCACCGCTCATTTAGATGGACAAAGAGCACCTGGGTGCCACTGATGGCCCTAAACAATACTGAAAGCTACTCTCAAAGCTAACTGTCGGGGGCATTTTAGCTTTCCTTATGTCCCACTGACACCATGTAATATCGATTCAAAATACACCAACAGCTGACTTGCCAAGTATCAGTTAGTCCCAGATCTGCTGCAGCCTGGAACAAGCAATGCCAGAGGGCCAACACAAGCTCTCCCATTTGCACTGAGGGCTCATATCCCTCCTCCAGCACCACAAGTGCCTGCTTCCTCACGTGCAAGCCCTGAAGCCACTGCTTGCTCCTCCAGGTGTGCATGACAACATAAGGTCACCTCACCCTGCTATCTGACCTTGGGATTGTCACGCTGGTTTATAGATGGGACAACAGTCACAGTAGGCAGGCTGCAGAGACTTGATGCAGTCAGAACACCCCCTCCCCCCCCGCACCGCTGACTTCCCTCACCTTACTTGATTCAGAAACTTGTTCAAAAAACTGCATCCTGAATGAATCCCTGAATAGCTATTGTGCTGTGTAAAAAAACTGAGAGATAACCTGCAACCAAAACCAGTTCATATGGACGTAAGTAGCAGAAGCAAGGTACATGCAATACCACAGCTGTCTTGCAAAAAAACCCCATGCTTCCATGATGGGCTCCAGAAAGGATAAGGAAGTTCTTCCAAACCGTATCACAAGCCTGTTCCTAAAATGTATCTGGTAGGTCAGATAATTTGGGATATGCCCTCAGCCATCCTAGCTTCAAACTTCTTAACTAAAGACACCGCTGTCACCTGTGCAGAAGTCAATGCTGGCAGTGCTGATGATGAGAGTCAGGCTGAACTAACAATGCGTGGGTACACCTTAGTTTCACTCTCTTTTCCGATGCTGCTAAATCCCTGACGCCTAACTGCAGCCAAGCAGCAAAGAAGTATCATCAGAGCTTTAGATCAATAAGCATATAAAAACACTAGAGACGGTGTTAAGACAGTTATCACTCCTCTTCGCAACCACTGTTCCCCTGGCTTCTGAATTTCATCTTCAAGGTTATAAACTTTTGAGGCAAATGGGTCTTAATCTTACTTAGTGCACTAATGACTACAGAAACTTGAGAGGAATGAAGGTTGCTTAGTATCAGTGACCTGGTACATAGTAAATCATCTCAAGTTTCATTTCTCAAACATAACCTCTGTGATGTTGAACCAAACAAATTCTCTGTGACTCAGTTTCCAATCTCTAGAACAGAAAAACAAGTACATTTTTAGTTCACAAAAGGACCTGCAGTAAGGTTCTCTGTAATGCATCAGTTACTATAAGGCAGTCAGGCAACGACACAGAAATAATTATTGAACAACAGACTCTCTTCCCTGAAAGAGAAAGCTCAGGTCAACGTGGCAACTGGCACAGACTCCAGCTACAGGAGAACTTTTCAAAGGGAACAGCTATGTCTCTGAGTTAATACCCATTCTCATTAAACAAAGCATAAATAACACTAACATGCAAAACTACAGGCTAGAAATTATTTAACCTTTAGCTAGACTGTGGCTTCATTATAGCAAGAGAATCAAGAAATCTAGATCTACATATGAGATGGCTAGCTCTGATTATCTCTACACTACTTTGACAAAGGGTATGATGAACATACTCATAAAATGTTTCTTAGTGCTCTCATCTTAATAAATGGTTATATCACAATTGCACCTAACTTGGATTTGTTAGAACAAGCTTCTTTACACTTACCAGGAACGTGAACTTGGAGATGAGCAAGTAAATGTTTATTTTGGATTTACGTACGGTTGAACTTCTGGCATATGTTTTATTTTCAAAACCAATTTCACATTTTACATTTTTGAAGGCACTGTGGTCTAATATTTGGAACAGCAGGTTGGGAAGCCAAGTCCCTCTGACTTCCAGTGCTTTCACACAGTGACTGGTGGTTCGGCCTCTGTTACTCATACATCAAGAGTACTTCAGTCTAAAACTACTCTCACTGAAAACATTTCATACACAGAAGGCCATTTCTAAAAACGATTAATTGGGACAAAAAGTGGCTCTGAATTGCTGGGGATTTTTTTGCATTTTTTGTATGCCTAGAGACAGTGTAGAGTTAAACATCCTTTTTAAGAAGACTACTTACACAGCTGCTGCAAATGCATCTAGTATTTAAGCTATATTCACACAGGATCACTTTCTGGCTCTGTGTTCTTTACTGGAAATTATGCTCTTTGCTCCAACTTCCCTATGAGATTGCTATGGGGTTTTTTACATTACTGGTGGTGTTCCTCTCTCAAGCAGTGACAGAACTGATGGGGCCAGAGGTTACCAGTTTTTTTCTTGCTTTGCTTATCTGTTGGGCATCCCAGTCCATCCCCTGGTTGTCCTTATTGCAGTTTTGCTTCCCACACTGTTGCCAAGTAATCAAGGGAAGGCATTGTATGCACAAATTGCAGTCTGACAAAAAATCAGCTGACTCCCAAAGCAGCATCTTGGGATCCACCATCAGGCAGAGTTTATCCAGAATGTCAATGATAGTACAACTCACATTTTTTGTGTCCAAGATTATTATTATTCCAATAACTAGAAGATGGAGAATTGAAGTTTTGCAGTCTCTATTACAAAAACAAATCTGTCTTTTCCAGCTTTTGCAAAGGTTAAGTTGGGATTGCATGAATCTCCCAGGTCTGTTGACATACATGTTTCAGATCTCTGGAGTTCTCCTTTGTCCTGTCTGCAGTGCGCCTAATGTCCTCCTCCTGCAACCTCTTGACCAGCTGCCCCTGCCAAGTACCATACCTCTAGCTTATTCCAGCTGTCTCAGCTCCTTCTCATACATAAGAAATGTTATCAGGTACAGTTTCAATGCCTGTGAACTTCTGTAGTGCCTTGTTCAGTTTAAACCAAAATTATTTTGAGGCCCACCAAGTGCCCTGTGTTCCCACTGCTTTAAGATCACATGCAAAGTTTTGGAATTTATTTGGTTTTTGTCCAGAAACCAGCACTTTGAATACCCTGTGTTATTCAGTGCTGCCTGAAGACTCTTGTTTCTAGGTGCTGCTTTTTTTCTTAGAAATCGTATGTTCTTCCTTACAGTGGAATCCATTATATTGACCACTGCCAATTTGTTTTATGTAAGACATGTTGGTTAATAAAATGAAAGGACTTGATACTTGTAAAACCAGACTGGCTCTTTAATTCACACACATGTTGCAACTGAGATTATCACTTAAACCATGGGCATACAAACTGCTTTCCTGGTAGCTCCTGCAATGTGAGCTGCTCCCACAAAGATTCATGCAGGTTGCTACAAGCACTCCTTCATTACCCCAGCTAAGGATCTGGCAAGAAAATAGAGGCTTCATTGTACCAAGTGCTGTATGTTATTAGATTAAAAGTGGTTTTGTCCTAACAGTTTATGTGAATACACAGGGCAGTATGAAGAAAAGAAATGTTATTATCTCCATTTTACAGAGAGCAGACTGAGGCATGGGCATAATAAGCAATTTGTCCAAAATTATGCAGGAAATCTGTCCTGGAACAGGGAACTGAACTTACACATTTTTGTTTCATTCTTTTTAACTACAAAACTAAGAGGAAACAGGAGCGCTATTAAAACTGCTGGTTCTGAAACACCCATACCTAGGTCTGACACACATTGTATTTCCAGTTATTGTCCTACTCAGTTCCTAAAAGAACAACTCCAATTATGCAAAATGTTTTCTGCTTCTGAGGGACATAACTGGATGCCCTGTGTTCTCTCCTCTGGTCTAGAGACCTCCACACTGCACCACAAGCTGCTCCCTTCCCCACCTAACAAGCATCTCCGAATCTGAGGTTACCTGCCAAATTCCTGACAGTACTGAATTCTTACATCAGAGTTTTGTGTATCCGCTCTATGGCATCCTCCAGCTCTTCCTTCTGGTCTGGAACAAAGCGGTACTCCGAGACGTAGCCTGCAGTGTGCTTGTACGGGTCATAGTCCCCCAGCTCAGCTAGAGGACACAAGAAGGAAAGAAAGGTCACCTATTTTCAACGCTTTATGTTAACCAAAAATTATGTCATATAATCCACCTGTTTGTTGCCAAGCCACCTCTTTCCAACTGACTGTCAATTTACCATGCAGGCAGTTAAAAAACCCAAAGACAGTACAGAACTGTTCATTTTAGCGCACATAAAACCAAGAAAAAAAGTCTTCAATCATTAAAAGAGAAATGGAAGGTTCAAAGAGCTAGAGGTTTTGAAAGGAAACCTACCACTTCTACAGGACTAGATACAATTTTGTCCAAGCCAGCAAAGTTGAAATTTGATGACGTATATTATTTGGCAGCATATGTAAAATAAGCGTAGAGGGAAAGTCTAATTTTTTGAATACTTATGCCCTCACGATAAGCTGTAATATTACAGACAGAACAGATCCATATTCTTGCTGGGACTCCTAACATAAATGTCAGTGTGGGAATGCAAATGGAGACAAATGTCCTGAGACACCTAGAGGTACGCCCTTCTAAGGGTAAGCATCGTTTCTTGTGAGGAAACACAAGACTTCATTTTTCAATAAAATATCAATATATTTCCGAACATTAGTTCAAAATCAAAATAATTTTTTAAAAAAAATTCTTAAAGAAAAGAACCTAATGAATAGCCAATAATTTTCTTTGAAACAACCTTGAATTTGCATGCATTAGTCATTACCAGTTTACATGTTGCCATGCAATTATAAAATAAATATGCACCTTGGTCAGAACCCACTTCTACTGATCTTAACTCTAATTGCATCTCTCTGAGAAACTCTGTGAAAGTTAGTATTTCAATTTTTTAATAACCCTCTGTAAAACCTGTGTAAACTGGGCTGCTCTGAGAAAAGCTTCATGGAAGGTTGCTATCCAATGCCCACTAAGCCAAACACATAGCCAAAAGGAGGCTTCAAGAGCCAAGAAGACTCATCTAATAACTCGTGTTTCTTTCCAGAATTTAATGATGTTTCCAGAACAAGACAGTGATCTGCTCACTAGACATGTTGAGAAGTTTCTCTAGAAAACCTCTGTAAAAATGGTGTGGTCCTTGCCCATAGCAGGAACAAGAACAGGAATATCTACAACAGTAACAACTCCAGCATTCGCAATAGGAAAATTGGTATATTCTGTGCCATACCCATGCCATAACTGTGCCACGGGTACTAATTTTTCCACCATCACAACTACAATAATCTGCAGTCTTTGGCCACAAAAGGAGGAAGCGATTCACGTGCTAAGGACAGGATCTGCCCGGAGACCAAAGATGACATGCAGGCACAACCTGCTTGGTGAAAGCAGGGCCCATGGCTGGAGCAGGACATGGGTAGAGGACTCTGGGAGAACAGGTGGCCATGGCTCCCCCTCCAGATCTCAGCAGCTGCTAGCTCCACTGGGAAAGACACTACCTGTATCATTACAGAAGCAGAGCTTCTCGGCTATTTCCGAATTCCCACAAACACACTTCATCTCAGTTTGGAAAAGAAAAAAGCATGATCTGGCACATCACCCTTGGAAAGGCTGTTGACCTCGGTGCTGATGCTTTGGGTTCATATTTTCAGTATCTGACACAGACATTTTTCAGGTGTCTTTACATATTTTGAACAACTGCAGGCCCTAAATAAAAGGACAAAGTTTTTTATAGAGTCAATGGGAATGTATGCTTGCTGGTGCCAGGACTAACTTTAACCCACTTTATGTAATCTTTGCTATGCTTTAGTTCTCCTCTCTCACATGAGCTTCCTCATTGTTTTCCGATAGAATATCTGAGATTAGAATCATGGGAACAGGATTTTATACCAAAACAACAGCTCCCCATACTCTAACCACCTTACAAAATGACTAAGGACAAGAATTTATTCTTTTTACTCATTTCTCATAATACGATTAAGATGTTACCTTCATTACATATTTTCCTGCTTCATACTTGCAATAGTTTTTCAATGAGGGCACGTAAAGTGAAATGTGTATTGCAAACAGTTTTTCAGAGTATGACGTCACATTTCTTAGATGGCAAAATGAAGTTAAAAATAATTGTACAAAAATAAAACCTGCCTGAAATTTTAGCTTTTCAGAAACATATATAACACACCATGAAATTCTGTATAATGCTCACTCCCATTTCATACACAAGTTATTCTGCTTTGTTATTAAAACGGAAATGAAAGGAGGACTATTTTTTATGTTGTATTAAGTGTTGTTGAGTCATACTTGGAACACCAATAACAAATAATCTTTGGTTAATATGTATCACTGATAAGAAATCCAAATTTAACATAGAACAAATTACAGGTACATTTCCCAGCATGGCTCATCATACGATTTTTGGTCACCAGTTGCGTTTGAATATAGAGCTTGAGCTGTAATGCGAAAGGAATAACTAACTTGTAGACAGACAGACAGCTCCTTTCTAATTGATTGCTAGTTCTATCAAGTATGCAGGATATAACAACCACTTCTGAAAAGCTAACTACTGATGGGTGAATGCAGATAAGTGACAGATAGAATTAAAATTCTTCACTTCAGGTCAAAACACATCCTCCCTTCAAGCATAGGCACATTCATACTGACATAATGTAATTTTTGAAAGAATGTTTTATTTGACAGACTTTGTTGGCTGGAGGCTGCCAATAGCCCATCAAATCAGTAAACCTCCTGATGAAGGTTTTGTCATACTCTGTATGCAATCCAGAGTAAGTCATAAAGTCTTAAGTACATGATCAGGTATTCCTCAGCAAGGCAAAGAGTGTTTGGCAGACTCTTCAGACTGACTTTTCAGTTTCTTCTTTACATTAGCTTCTATATTGCTTCTATATTATCTGTTCAGAATGGTCATCTATTTACAGTTCTTCAGCTGAGATCAGTCACACTAGTTTTGTTCTGGTTTGAAATGAATGCATAAAGCGTTAGTGAAATCTTCAGTCACCACTTAAAATTAATCATAATACAGGATTAAAAGAAATAAGCTCTCAGTTGGACAGAAGAACTTACACTGAATTACATATGCTCCCAGCTGTGCTGCAGTGTTGATTGGACAAGGCAAGCGACCCTGTAAAACATCTTGCTTGACCTGCAAGAAAAACTGATACCTAAAACACAGAGAGAAAACAAAGCTGTTATTTCACTATTGAGTCTGAAGCTCCACGTAATGTTTCATCATCTTCCAGTTTACTGAAGACATATCACATACATAACTACGTGACAGTCAAAAACTGTATCCCTCTCTGAATGACTTTTCCCCTACTGACCTTGAAGTAACAACTAAGATTAACCTAGTGAAAGAACCTAGGTAGGGGAGCACTCTGCAATTTTTCTATCTGCTTACATTGTGCAGATACAATACACTTTACTCCTAAAAATGTAATTTTTCTCTTTTGACTTTCACAGAGCAGTCAGGAAGTGGGGAAGACGGCTAGGAATCAGAAAAATTGAACAAGAAACCTAGAAAAGGGCCAAAGTTTAACCTGATCAGTGGATCAGCATAAGGGAGAACTGGGTATTGGATACTTCTTGACTCAAAGGTTTCCTCTCCACACACCAGAGTATCAACTCTAGAGCAGCAAGCAGATTTGATGGAGTCCATACTCCCGTGAAAAAGATGGATGGGCATACCATCAGCAGCTAACTGTACCTGTCATAGCATAGGGTACTCTCCTTCTTGGAATAGAGACAGCAGGGGTAAAAATGTAATTTTCAAAGTCATAACCTGCTGCTACACTTGATGAAGCACGTACTGAGACCACTTACAGTGAAACAGTATGCACAAAACAGATGGAAAAGTAAAGACAAGAAAACAAGCCATCGTACAAAGGATCTGCTTGGTTTTGCAACTGCCCATATTCATTTAGAGGAAATCTTTTAAACATTGTTTGGATTTTGTCTGGTTTTATTGCAACAGATTTACGCAGTGTTTCACATCATCCTAAGCTAATTTCTTACACCAAGTTCATACAAAAGGTAACAATACTGAGAAACTAACTTTTAAAGAAAAAAAAATGGTCATCCATACAAGCAGATAGCTTTTTCATTATTCGCTAATTCAACTTTATCTACATAGAGCCATTCAGCTACACTGCAAATAATTCATTCTGTGTTAGTACAAGTTACTTCTGAAAGCACCTTGGAATGATCTGTAAGTTCAAAGTGCATCATGCTGATTTCAGGGAAGTTAGCAAACTGCTGGTTACATAATAGCTGATCCACAAATCATTTAAGATCCAATCAAATTTACTAGACTTTATCAGCTCAGATTAGCCTCTGAATAAGGATACCAGTATCTTTCTGGTTAATGATCCCCAGAATTTGTGCTGTGACAGATATTCTAGTAGGAATGTCCATCCTTAAAAAAATGGCTAATATTCTCCACCTTAAAGGACCAGGGCACTGCGTAAGAACTTTCTGGGAATGTCATTAAGCAACACAAAGCACATACACTCAGTGTTTCTTCACTCTAAGCAATACCTCAGTATTGCTTCTAGCTTCTAGCTTATGCCTGCCAGTCCTACCTAGACAAATCTTCTCAGTATAAATGATGATAATGACAAAGATGATTTTACATCTACTGTAGAGTACACAGCATCTTCTTTTAAACATGAAATGCATTTCTGATATTCACCCGTCTTTCTGTTAGCACTTCTGCATCTCTGCAGTGCAGAGCTTCATACCAGCTGATGCTACAAATGTCTTTTCCATGTAGCAGGTATCTATATTTCTGCATTCTCATAGTGTAGCCTCAAAATAAAGCAAGACAGGAAACTGCAAAAAACACCACCTCCCTGCAAAAAACAGTCAGAGCCAACTGTTAAGTGCTTAAGTGACTCCTATAATTCAGTGAATGATCTCAATTCCCACTGAAGCCACTAAGCTCCTCACAAAACCAGGCCTTTTGTCCAAACTTGTAGCTAAAGCACTCTCATCTTGCGTGCTGTCAAGTTTGTCATGCATATATAATAGCGCCTAAGCGCTAGTGTGCTCTAGCAAAAACATCCAGCAAATGTTGCTAATGAATCACCGCAGTGTTAGCTTTTGCCTACAAGCCAGATAGATTTTTGCTGTGAAGCAATTACAAATTTGACAGGTTTTCATTATTTGCAAATAGTAATCATATAACACCACAGATCACCAACATCTAATAACAACAGACACCACTCTCATATCCATTAAAATAACAAACACATGCTCCAAAGAAACACAACAGTTAGCACAAAATGGATAACACATCACTGGAATTACACACCTGGGCAGAAAATTATTATTATAAAGAAAAATAGGGCCTTTAATTGCTCCTAAGCAGAAGGAGGGGGTTTTTTTGTTGTGGTTTTTTTTTTTTTTTTCTGAAAAGGTATACCTTTCTTCCAAGGTTTAAAAGCCAATAGGAATAAATGCTCAGAAATGTTGAGGGCATTTAACTATACAATGTGTTTTGTTGAAAAGTGTCAATACAAGCATATAGCTTTCTTATGCCTTCCCTCGCCGTACCTTCTACGGTGCAAATTCGGCATGACCAAACACTGTGCAGACATGAACAGAGGCTTATTAATTGTACTGAAATGCTTCTCGACTAGATTTGCACACCTAATCAGCAGTGCAAATCACTGACTGACCTTATCACAAGGCAAAGAGAAACAGTTTTTGAAAATTTAGCCCCTGTCATTTCCCAGACAGAAATCCACCCTGCCTCCTAGATAGCAATCACAACAGGTTTGGTGGCTGAAGCGCTCTTCCCAGGGCCATCTGTCTTCCCCTGTGAACAGGGTTGAAAGTGCTTCTGGAAAAGTACAGGAAAACTGCATCAAACTTTCATGATACAGGGGCATCACATTGCAGCCCACTTACGCTCTTTTACCTGCAAAGTCACAGTGTTTATTATCTTTACCAGGCCAGCCTCAATCTTCTTATATTGGAGACTTCCGTTCCTGCTGTGCCAGTATGGAAACAAAAGAATTTTCTCACTCTGGTACAAGAAAAATATTCTGCCTGTGCTGCAACAACTGCTACCTTTGATTAAGGAAAATTAAAAACCCTGCATGCATTCTAATGAATTCTCGTGTGTCATATTCCTAGGACATCAAAAGAAATATTTTGACATTTATTAATGCAAGCCAGCACAATAATTTTGTCCGCCTACCTATCCAAATTCTCAAATTTCCTTTTGAACCTAAAACTATTTGTCACAGACCTTTCATAAATAAAGCAAACAGAAAAACCTGTATGTGACAGTTCAGGCAAGCATGTGTGTGTATATGTCTGTGCGCATGCGTGTGCATGTGTTAGTGTGTGCACCCTCATATTCTGTAGAGGCCAAGCTTAGTTAAAAGAATCAAAAGCATGCAACTCTTCAATTTCCTTTGCATATTTTCAGAAAGACCAAAAGAAATCCTCTTGAAAAACAGTTCTGGAATTTAAGCTATGGCCAATAAAGAAGAAAATTCCCTGTATTTATATTTGATATCCAAGTAAACTCTAAACTTGATTACAGCACAAGATAAATACAGAAGTGACAATGCATTCCTTAAAAAAAACCCACAAATGCACATCAAGTCCCTTTGATTTTTGATGCACTAGAGAGCACCTTTTCATCTTGGGCTTCCAAATAGCTGTCCATACCGACCACTGTGAAGCTAGTCACAATTCTCTTCCTACACATACATGTTCAAGCAAAAACATTCAGATGTTCAAAAAAAAAAAAATAAAAAAAACCAGCCACACCACAACAATATGCACATGGCTGGAACAGATTACTACCCTGAAATCAACAAACTACACTTTTATTAAATACTGTACCTTGTTATTTCTTCTTTAAGTTTACACGGATCTTCTGCATAGAATTTAATGCCAAAATACAAAGTGTATGGTGGTCCAGCTGAGGGGAAAAAATATTCGGTGCAAAAGTTAGTTGTTATGAACTGTTAATTGTTATGAATTGTTACTAGTTGACTATAACACAGTTACTAAGAAGCCTATCTTAGTATTTTATGAAACTTGAAAGTTTCAGGAAAAAATCTTACATCCACATAGCAAATCTGTACACCTATACTCATTACACACGAGAAAAAAAAAGTAAGAAAAAGATTTTTATTATTATTTTTCTAGTCTTGTGTTTGTTTATTCACAGCATGTCTGTCTACTTGGAGTTTTTGCTTATTTTGAAGACCTGACTTTAGATTTCATTGCTAACCCACTATTTCTCGAAGATTTTTTTTTTACTGTTTGATTTTGACCTTTAGATACTATTTCCACTGAAGCTTTTTGAAAAATCTAATTGTGCATGAAATGTGATTCCCTGTCGTAACTAATAATACTGAATACTAATCCCTTCCACACTTTCAAATATCTTATGGAGCAACTTTAATTATGTGCCACTTTAATTAAGACATATTTGGAAAAGCTCTTCTAAGTCACCTTCTAAAAATGTTATTCTCCCAAAAGATTCAGTTAACTCAGTACCAAAATTGTTACAGCTACATTTATCCCATGCATGCTCCACTTCTACATCTTTTTATAGAAGGTCTCCAAATTCTTAAGTAAAATAATCTTATGTTCTTTAATTATAATAAAAATAACAGATATTGCATCTGTGATATCTGAAGAGTGACACTAACAGCAGACACTATTATCAGTAAGAAGCACTACTTTACTTTCAGAAGAAAAAAGGAATCTAAGCTGGTATGGTACAGTATGGTAGAGGTATCACAGCTACTACAAAATTAATTATACAAGTTAAGAATAGCACCATTTATTATTCTAAAGTAAAATTTAAGCACAGAGAAATCTTTAGACAAGAGTCACAAATTATTGGAAAATGATGGTATGTTCAATCTATGTGTGAAATTTTGATACAGCTATGAACTGCAGTAATAAACTTGTTCAAGAACTATCAATCTGTTGCGACTAGTATATAAATGATGCACAGGCTGTATATATGGAACATTGCCTCTGTTACTTCATCTTCAGCTATGTTAAGTTCAAATTAAATACATACTGTTTATCAATTCTTTATGTTCAGCAAGGGTCTTTGCAGGATCCAGCCAGTACTGTGAGACAGATAATTATGGAAATTAGTCACTTAACATGGAAAATTAATACAGAACAATTGCAATTCTATATTTATTCACATATTGATACTTATTAGCAGACTGACACACTTCAGTCTGCTAATGACAAACCTGTGCCAGCTTCTGATCAGAGAAACACTGTCTGTACAAGTCTAACGTTGTGTATCTTCTCTGGGGGTAGGGGTTTCTCTAAAAGGAAATCTGTTTGGTAAGAGCCACCACACCTCAGGCTGGTGACAAGCTGGCTCTACAGAAGTATCATATTAAGTACCCGTTGGTGTCTACCTGATCTGCTATAGCTACAGTATATGGACATGCAACCTTGCTATTTTCTTCCTGGGAGATTAACCTAAGCAGGATAACTCTAAATTTAAACAGCAACAACAAAGCATGTAAGACAGAATCTACAAGGAAAGAATGAAGGGGCTTCACTTGTTTTCTGAAAAACAAAAGATTGTAGGGGGGAATAGGCATAACAGCACTCTTCCAACACCTGAGAAATTGCTGTGAGAACATAGCGATCAATTTTTCTTCATGTCCACTAAGTATGAAGAAATTGGCTTAACTAGAAGCAAAGAAAAATTAGTTTTGATTTTCAGAAACTGTTTCTAGTAGCAGGAAGAGTGGATGACTGGAAACTGGCACCAAGGTAGGGAGGGCACAGACTCTTCCACCGGGTGGTTTAAAGGACTAGTTGGACAAACGTGTCAGAGGTGATCAAGGTACACTTAGTACACCACAGAGGGATGAAGTGTTACAAGGGGTTCCATAGCATTCGATCAACAGACAATCCATAGTATAATTTCTCACTAATTGCTCTGCCCTGCCTTTATCAAACTTCTAATAGAAGTTATTCTAATATTACTGCTGACCACAGACCAGCTGTGTACTTCTCATTATGGCTACACAGGTCACCAGCATCCTGCTCTTGTAATCCCTCCAGAAACTTACTTCTTCCTTAGCTTGACATTTCTATGATTCAGTTTTGGAAGAAAGTGCAGAGGCAGCAGCCAAGATCATTCTTGTCTTCCTTTTCTCCAATCCCTTTCCCTCATACACAAACTTTTTGGACCAGCTGAGACTGGCACCCCTTCTTAAAACACTGGAAACAAAAGGCTGCTGTAAAGAGCAAATTGAGGAGGCTTGAGGAGGACTGAAGCTACTCCTAGTACCCACAACTTTTTTAACTAAGGAACTCCATAGACCAATGAATGAAGAAACTCCTTACCTGCACGCCTGAACTAACCCCATAGAGAATAAGAATAAAATGATTAATCAAAAAATCTCCCCCCTCTATCCAGAAAACTTCTCTGGACTAGAGAATTTCACTATTAGAAGGAGTAGCATAAATAAGGGAGGGAAAAACACTACAAAACATTTGAGTGGAAAATTTCAAGCAACTAATTTCATAAATGGTTGTAAACAACTGTCATTATTTTGACTAAACATGAAAAGAAACCTCTTCCATTAGCTGGTGATCCACCTGCAATAGAAACAGCTGTATGCCTTGTTCTTGGCCATTGCTATTTCAAATCCAGGAATGTTTGTTAAGAAAATTTCCTAAATTTTGAAGGAAAAAAAAATATTCAGTAAATACTTGTATTGAATACATCCAATAACTACTTGAATATAAAACCTCTTAACCTCAACAGAAGGTAGGAAGGAAAGAAAAACTCGTCACGCTTGTTCAAACATCCTACTAGAACTCCCTATCAGCAATAACCTGAGCTAGCACAATAGGCTGATAAAGAGATTTTACAGTCAACAGGCAGAAAAAAGGCAAAATGACTCTGTAGTGCACATTCTGGCTATGCAATGCGGTCAGAATGTGGTCTGACCTCTTCCCAAAAGTGGCATCGCACTATGAACAACACATTGTCAAGCTAGCCTGCTTATCATTGACAGCTTTGTTACACTGCAAGTTTCAAAATCAGATCAAAATCTACCACAGAATAACTCGTTCATTAAGTTCTCCTGAAGTGTATTTAAATCAGCTTCAAGATATATTGTCTTACAGTCCTCTTCGCAGTTTAGCTTTACATGCATAAGTAGATTGATGATTTAAAAAAAAAAAATATATATATATATATATAGATGGACCATTATTCAGGTTTGCAAGTCAAGCACCGAACAGTTACAGATTTCTGGTTGTCTCTGCAACCTGAATTACACTGCCTCTTGTATCCATGTGATTCACTGGCTGCCATGAGACAAACCAGAATTGGGCCAGGTTATTAAAGACTGTATGGGCACTTGTAGACAATGCAATCAAAACAGAGTTGCATTAGAAGACTTAATTCTCACTGGGCTGTACTCGACTTGCAAGTCAAATTATATTCTTTGTATGGTCTTCTGAAGGCAATTTCCAAGCTTGGGCGAAGGGGGCAAAATTCAGAGGGAAAATTGCAAGTTCAGATTCAGAGGGAATCTGAAGAGAGGAGAGGGAAAAAATCTGGTTATTTCTATCACTAAACATTTCCTTTCCTTCCCCCAAACTGAGCCAGCAGGAGGAACTGCACTCTCAGCCCTCACCCCTGTAAGACAGATTGCTGCTACTCGTGCTAGTGAGAATCAGCATCAGCTGGCACGAGGAAATATGCTCTTCTGAGTGTACCACGGGCCTTGAGATCCGCGTGCTGCATAGGTGAAGTTAAACACTTCAGCTCAGACCGGTTTACTGCTGGGATAGAGAGTGGTGGGGAAGAGGCAAGAATCTAGTCTGCCTTCTCATTTCTCCAGTAAGTATTTTGTAATGCCACAAACCCACACTTAAAATCATTGTGTAGCTATTTCTTATTTCAAAGACTGCCAAAATTTTCCTGAAGAATGCAAGGGGTGGGGGGAGGAGAGAGAGATTTCTAACATTTTATTTGTAAGCCAAAGATGAATGGAATTTCATGGATAATGAAAAGGCATTTTTCAAGCCAACGTTAGACAATAAAGATGAGAACATTTACAAAACCAAGAACCCCGACAACAGACCCCTCTAAGCATACATACTCACACATACCTAATAATGTGTATTAGATACCAGTTAAATGTTTGCATATACATATAAATAATGTTGGGTATAGTTACAGTTTTGAGCTCACATGTTAAAGTGCCAAGAGAAACGGAACAAAAAAGCAGAGTGTCTTATTAATCCAATACACTTGCACAGCAGGTGCCAACAACAAACCCTGCATTCGTGAATGCCAAAGTAGCTCCAACAGGCAGCTTCACTCCTTTTATCTGTTTGGCAGCCAGCATGCCACTTCTCGGTGATTTCCCACCTGTATCGCTCCTGCACAAATAGCGAGGGTTATCTGACTTATAAACAGCTCACTACTACTGCGAAGAGGTGGAGGGCCCAGCATATACCCATCCGACTGCAGGGGATAAACTTTGTGAATCTGAAAGAGGAATTTAACATTTACAGAAGAAATGGGAAAAAAGTGATGATTTCTAAATAGTCCTAACCAACGTAACTATCCAATTACTAAAGTGATGGCTACTAGTTTACTAATTGTTATTTACAAAGACCATATAGTATTAGTTTAATTTAATAATTATTTATATAATAAGACTGATTATAAATGTACAATGTTATTAAATAAAATAATTCCCTTTTAGTTTTTAGGTAGAAATTATAGAAAAAGATGTTTTAAAGTACAGCATATCTAAGAATAGACGGGCTCTATTGTCCTTTGTACTTTCACAAATCTGGCTCCCATACGAGCCAGATGTGTAAGCAGTATGCATCCAAGCACCATGCAGTATTTCATATTTAGCCCTTTTAAATGACTGCAAACATTTTTCCACAAATCTGGAATCTTCATTCCTTGTATCTGCATAGGGTTAAACCTGGGTCAAATTCCATGAACCTGTTTGAAACAAAATATTAACTAGGTTGAAATGTTTGCTGTGGTATCAATCAATGAAGTGCCTGGTGGAGAAAATTCTATCAACTTCAAACTAAATCCTGGGCTGTCTTAATTAGATTCTTATGAAGCTGTACCCATCATGCCACACATGCCAATTTTTGTTCACATTTACAACAAGCAAAAACACAACTTTCAAGAGAAAACACAGTATTTTTCAATTATAATCTGAAATTATCAAGATTTTTCCACAATCTAAGACAACATTAACAGTTAGAATTATTTTGTCAGTTTTTTCTGCAAATGTTCAGTGCAAAGAATCTAAATCTAAGCTCAAGACATCCTTATTATATAAGAAATGTATAAATCATCAGGCAATTCCTACATACAAATATGTATTTAATACTTCTGTCTTTTCCTTATTAGAAGCTGAAGTTGTATTGATTATATTTATTATTAAATCACCAGTGTGAGTATCCTGTTGATCCTGCTACACTCTAAAAGCTTACTCTTACTGCCTTTAACTCACCTGACCATCAGATTTGCCTAGGTTATTTTAATCCATTAACAATCTTCTAAAATGTCTAACTTCTAATCAATGTTGTCAGTCTCTATCTTCTTTCCATTGGCTATGCCATCTATTTTAACAAGCACAACAAGTCTTTTTCTTTCTAGATGATTTAGTATACCATACTTGTGGGCAAATGTCAAATCCATACAAAACCAAAACACAAGCTAAGTACAATTCATCTGTTTTTCTAAGATCTTGAGATCAAAATATATGCTATATTATATGACAGTAATTCCCTAGAGAACAGACATTTTTGATTGTAAGCGAACCTTTTGTTAAAATCATGCCCTTCTTTCTATAGTGAAGTTACATACAGCCTGTTCAATCTGTTACTCTATCCAATTTGGTATAGTAACCTGGCAATCTGAGCACGCTGCAGTTACTTTATTAGTCACACTGGATGGATCAAGATACATCTTTCCGACGTATGAGCTTGCACAGCAAGGATATGCAATTCATGGCACAAGCTTCTGTGCTCACCTTTGCCACCGCTGACCTGATCTATCACGGCAGCACAGCGACCCACAGTAGAAAGTTCAGCTTCACAA